CCGGCCCGGTGGCACACTCGGTAGAGTGCGGCGCTTGGGAGCATGGCGGCGCTCACCCCGAGGGTTCGGATCCCATATAGAGACCGGTCTGCTCACTGGTTGAGAGCAGTGTGGGCGCGACACTGAGGGTTGCGATCCCGTTACCGGTCATGAAAAAAGACAAAAAGGAAAAATAAAAAAGACTGGGTTTATGTATAGATATGAGAAGTTCGATTCTTTCTCTCTCTCTTTCAAAATGTGTAAGTGTCAAGCATTGTCCTAGCCTCTGAGGGCACATAGAGAAATTCAGTCACAGACCTTAAGGTGCTCATAATTCAGGGCTCAAGTACTAGAATAGAGACAAGTGCCAGGTGCCACTGTGGGCTAGAGGGAAGAGGGACTGAAGGCTGTGTGTCAGGTAAATCTTAAAATCTTTGGAAATAAAAAATGGACACTAAGACAAGAATTATGTCACCAGAAGGGAAACACTGAATACTTCCAGGATGCAAACCAACCTGGGACTTTGAGAAAAGCCTGTGAATCGGAGTTTGACTAACATTATTGGTCCGTCAACAATTTACTTGGTACTTTAGGCTCATTCCTCAAGTGTTCTATAACTTCAAGGTGCTTTCTAAATAGAAGATGAAAATATTATTATAAAGTCCATTTAAATAAACCTTCTATATGAAAAAGTCACCTCTTTCTAATTTGTTGAAATAAGACAGTCATAATATTTATTTCATCAGGGGGGTGTGAGGCTTAGTCAGGATTAATTTACTTTATTATTCCTTCTAGGCCACTTGAAAATTTATAAAATCCCCCATGTGGTTTGTAGGAACAGACTTCATGTAAATTTGATGAGAAATAGTACAAATGGGAATGTTCCATCAAATTTTCTCATCATCCTTCAAGTATAACCACCCCACTCTCGCTTTTCCAGTCCCTCATTCCAAGGCACCTGGTTCCTGGGAGGGCTTCCCAGCCAAGCCAGCTACCCACTGCTGCTGCTGCCACCGCTTCATTAACCACCGCAGAACCTTCTATAGAGGCAGGGCTCCCATCTCCTGGATGCCTGCTTCATTCATGGTGCTCGTACAGCACGTACTGTTTACATTTTTGTCTGCTTCCCCAAGTAGACTGTGAAAACCAGAGGGTGTCAACTATTTCTAACTTGTCTTTTTAATCTCTAACATCTAGTTAACACAGTAACTAGAGAAAAGAGTGATTAAATACGGGCTTGTCAAATGAATGAGAGCACAAACACTGTGCTTCTAGTTCCAAGGTAAAGCCCAGCCTGCCGCCTGAAGAGGCAGCCTGCCCTCCTGCTGCCCTTCAACTGCAGCTCACCCCACCCCAGCACCCCCACTTTCTGACCTCATTTCATCTATCATTTAAGGCAGAGGTTCTCAAGCTTGGCTACACATTAGAATCACTTGCAGGAGTTTTACATACAAAATAAACACTGATACCTGGCCCCACAGGCAGAGATTCTGATTTAATTGGTCAGGGTGGGGCCCTAGCACTGGCTTCTAAGTGCTCCTGTAATGAATGTCAAGTGCAGCCAGGCTTGAGAACCACTGATTTTAAGGTGATATTCAAGTCCCACCTTCTCCTGAAAAGATGCAATATGCCTCTGATAATTTTACCTTCCTTTGGATTCAAAGCAGTTACTATTTTAACCACTCATTAGAAAATAAACCAAACACTGCCTTGTGAAATCACCTCAGAATTAGGTTGTCCTTTCACTCCTGCGCTGCATTTTGATTGTTCAGGAGTGTGTGTGTGAGTGTGTGTGTATCACCTTCCATCCTAGACCAGAAGGACCTTGAGAGCAGGGACTGTGTTTTCTACTTCTTTGCATCCATCCTCCTGCCATGTGCATGGTGGGCCAAAACATATTTTTGATGATTTGAAAAAACAACAAAAAAAACCCCTAGAAGAGGCCATTTTAATTCTTGTCTTTGGTGAGGACAAAAATGTTGCAAAAAGGGTGGGGCAGGATTGATGCAGAGTAGGAAAAGAGTAAAAAAAAGTCAAATGGAAAAAAAGCTAAACTAGTCCAAAAGAAAATGTTTCCCAGCTTCTTAGGAGGCTTTTTACAAACACTGAAACAGAATAAACAAGAGAATTAAATTGGCTTGTGCCCTGATAAGGAGATTTCTTTCTTGGTTATATAATTTTACAAAGTTTCTGGGGTGTAAAGAAAATAATTAGCCAGGGAGAACTCCTTCCCTTAGACTATACAATTCAGCTCTACAGTTAATCGACTCGAAGATCTGCTCAGCCAGCTTGTCCTGACCCCCTTCCAGCCCTGTGATCTCAGACTAAGCCTCACATTCAAAAGCTCTGGTGTAGTGCTCAATGTCATAGAAACAGGATGAAACATTATCCTCATTCCAAACCTTGATCCCTTGGTGTAGTAGCCTCTGCTTGTGCATTGAAAAATAAAATAAAATAAAATAAAATAAAAAATTATACCTGGTTTCTTCTCCAAGTAGCTGGTGTCCTAGAGGTCTGACTATCCTAGAATAATCCAGGCATGTTCTCCTATTAAGTAGTGTTATAAGAAAGTATTATTTGGTGCAATTACCCTAAAGGCTAGCTTTAATGTATTGTTTTTTGCACATATCCTAGAAAAGGCTTATCTTCATATGGCTTCTATACTTTGTCATAAAACAAGACCAGTGAATCACTAAGCACACCCTTGCTAAGGCAAGATAAGGTCATCAGATAGAGATGTTTTCCATATCAAACTTTATCCTACTTATTAGACCACAAATTTAACAGCTGGTCCCAAAAGGCATGCACATTTCTGTAGATTAATTAAATGTATGTTATTTTGCCTAAGTTGGCCATTTTAACACTGGCCATATTTTATATTAATATCTACTATGCTTGAAAACATGACTAAAAGGCATTTAAGTCTGCTCCTGATTGATTAGTAATGATAGTAATGAGTTGTCCTTCGTAGATTAAGATAACACCACTGACCCGTCTAATAGAATATGAGTTGATAGACTGTCACTAATCCATTCATACTTTGCTCCTGGTTCTTGTGACCAGTGGCCTGCATTTGACCTTATCAGCCAAGAGCCAAGAGCCACCAACATCCTCCAGTCACCAAAGAGATGCAAAAATAACAGCAACTTGTCCCACCAGCCACTTCCTGCTGACACTGACAAAATGGAAATGACTAGTTCATTTATTAAAACAAAAGGAAAAAAAAAAAAAACCCAAAAAACGTGGCTCTAATTTCATTTACTTATAAATTTTAACTGGAATTAGTAAAATTAGCATCTGAAAGTCTTGAATCCGGTGATACTATATATAACAAACCAAATCATAACATGAGTGTGTTACAGTAGGAATGCCATCTGTAATCTAAAACAGAGATAAATTACAAGTTTTCAGGGAGTGGGGTCGAGGATCCATGAAAATGGATGAATCAACACTAATTCACAAGGCATTTTACTTCCTCTAATAGAGTTTAGATAGCAGTGCTTGACAATCCTTAGTGACATCTCTGGTAGCCGTAAAAAGGTGTGCTTTTTAAACATGATTTCCTACTGTGGTTACAAGCCAAAGGTTATTAGGTTCTCCAGGAATATTTTTGGATGTGAATCCAGTAATGGATTCAGAACCCAGGATACCTGAATCATCAGGGAAAGGGTATCACTGAGGTAATGAGCACGCCAGGGCCTGAAAACCCAAGAATGTTTCCCTGAATGGAAACAAGCAGCTCCACCTTCTCAGAACATGGCTGACTCAATCACCAAGCTGGAATGTTATTTACACAGTCCCAAGCAAACCAAGAAGAATCCTCTGGTCTGTAACCAAGTTATGTCTGGAACAGGCAAAGGCTCATGTCTGTTTTTGATGATTCCTGCCTCCTTGAAAAAGAGCCAATTTACCTAATGCAGTTAAAGGCAACAACACCCTTCCTTCCCACCATCTCTTCCAGAAAGGACCACCAGTGTGATGTTTCATGCCTCTTTAATTAATAACCTGGATTTGTTATATATTTAGCAAGATGGGCAAATCTGGCTTCTGAACAAAAAATCAGAACAATCACCCTTCCTCCTCCTGCTTGCTATCATCTAAGTGAAATACAATAAATAAATATCATCTAAGTGAAATGATCATTTAGAGATAGAGCATTTAAGATCCCTAGGGGTGTGGTCTTTGGTCACTTACAAGTACCAAGGGCAATGCTAGCTCTGTGGGATCTAATTTTTTCCTGTGTGTGACTTGTTCCCCACTTTATCATAACTGCTGTTGGGACAGGCAAGGATGTTGGGAGATCATAATTGAAGCTGGTCACACAGCAGGATAAGGTTGAGGTTAGACATTAGGAAAAAGAAATTTCCTGATTATGAAACATTTTATTAAAGAGGTCAGACCGTGGTGCCCCTTTCTTTGGAGTGGGGAGAGAAGATTAAGAAAGGGGTGGAAAGTAACCTTTCTAGGTGGAAAGGGGGAGGTGATTCTCACTTGAGGCTACGATAGAAACGATAAATAGGGAATTCTGAGACAGTCATCATCCTTTTGGAGGTCTCTCTAGCATCATTCAATACTTCAAACTACTGACTTCTGTGTTAATGTAAACGTACCAAGTGTCTGGGGAATAATTTATTCACTTGGCAGGATCTGTCTGGCCTAAGGTTTTCAGAGCATACATACTTCAAGAAAAAGCATGATCACATACACATTATCCAGTCCTCAACAGATATCACATAAGTGAAAAGATCCGAGAGAGAATTTGAGATCTCTACAGGTGTCGTCCTTGGTCACTTACAAATATCAGGGAGAATGCTAGCTACGTGGGATCTATTCTTATATTTTTTCCCTGTGCGTGACTTGTCTCCCCACTTTACCATCACTGCTGCTGGAGCAAGCAGGGACGCTGGTTGCCTATGCTCCCTTGCCAGAGCTGGCCCAAGAGAGACAATGTGGACAACACTTTCAGAAGATGTTCAGATTGCTAGGTCTTGTTCTCTGACCGTCAAGGTCAAAGCACTTACCTGTCTTCTCTCTGAATCAAGGTACTGGAGAATCAGTCGGGTGTTCACACTGTGACTCCAGGTGTTTCCTAGTGCGGCTGTCACACAGCTCGATCCAGAAGTACCTTAAATGAAACAGGGCAAAACCGTGTTTATGGATGTGCCTTCTCGTAATGGCATTTCACATAAACAAAGTCCTGTCATTACTCAGTGCTCAGAGAATGCTTGGATACGCAGTTCATTAGCACAGAAGTTGATGAATTAGAGAGGAAGGAGAGGGGTTAAGGAATATGAGACTAAAAATGAAAACTAGCATGGGTTTCCTTCAGCATCAGTGAAAGTGCCTATCACTGGGCTGAACAGTAACAGAGGTCTATATCAATAAGAGGGTGCATTTGAAAGGCAGCTTGGAGCCATAGCTAACAATAAATCAGGCCACTGAATATCCACAGCAGAAAACCATAAAGTTACTCCATAGAATAAGAGCTGGTTATGAAATAGCCTTACTTTAATAGAGTTGTTAGACTTTTTTAGCTTGATAAGTCTTCATCTAATTTTCCTTATCAATATAGAAATAGTGGCATATACATAGAAAATTCCATTGCCTCCCACCCTCTGTACACACACACCCAGAAAAGGAATCTGGAAGATCTCAGCATTTCATATCTAATCTTATTTAGACATTCCTATTCCAAGAGAAACATTCCTTTACCTTCTAAGACTTTCCTATGAGAGGGAAGATCTGAAGTGAACTGTACCTGAGTTCCTAGTCTACTCCGAGTTGCACTTATATCTCCAAAGTTTCACTGACCCCTCTTGACATCACCAAGAGGAAACTGTTCTTGTTCCCAGCCCTCCTTGTTGGTCCTCAGAGGCAAGCTCCCAGGTCCTCCACTGCGAAGCCAGCTCCCACTATCACATCTAACACATCCTGAGGTCTCCTCCAAACTCCTGTGCCCACTTTGGCCCTGGGCCAAGGCAGGAATCCTAGCCTTATTCACTTGGGCATGTAGTTTATTCACAGTTGGGCATTTAGTCTGCCTTGTTTCCTCCAGATACCATCTCTTTTTAATGAGGAGAGTAAGTACGGAGAGGTTCAAGTCCACTGAATTAGTCAGAACAAAATGAGGCCTTGACTTTCTCATCTGTTGCCCTCTCACTGCATCATCTGATTTGCACCCCTCAGTGTAGAGTAGGAATTGGTCCTCATTTCCAAGCCAGATACCTTTCAGGGTGGTCTACCAACTGCACATGGCCTTAAGCTCCTGGACCCAAATGCTACAATAGATAAATGTGGTTCAGTGGTTCTTAGCTAGAGGTGATTTTGCTGCCAACGTGGGGTGCTATCTAGAGGGTAGAGGCCCATGGTGCTGCTAAACATCTTATGTATGGTACAGCCCCCTACAAAAAAGAATTATCCAGCCTTAAATGTAATAGTGCTGAGGTTGAGAACCCCTGGGTTAGATAATACCAACCATATATATTTTCCTGATTCAAGCAGGTACAGGAATAAATTAGATGGAAATCAAAAACTGGGGCCTTAACACTTGGGGATTTCAGATTGAAGGAGAATTTAGCATAGGAAAAACTAAAGTTAGGGGTGACCTTGGTTCATCATGTATACAACTCAAAACATGCCCAAATTAATGTGAAAATAAGTAAGCTAGACTGTGCAGATCTGATCCCATCACTCCCCTAACTAAAATCTTTCAGTAGTCCTCTAAGCATAAGGATAAGCACCAACTCCTGAACAACGCATCCGGGCACTTGGTTATCTGCCTCGGCATCTCTCTCTGGCCTCATCTCTCTAAGCTGTCTCACTGGATGGTCTCCCGTGACCTCCTGACTTCTCTGTCCTAATCCTCCTTGACCTCTTGTCAGCAGCTGATAAAGCTTCCCCCTTCCTTGATGTCCAACCTACTGGCTTCTCTGCTTCTCCGGTTTCCACGCTGATTCCTCCTTTCCCTTCTCTGTCTTGGTTTTTCCTCTCTTCTTAGCTGTGAGTGGACCTCGGGGAGTTGGGCATAACCAAATTTCCTCCTGTTGAATACCGAATGCCTTCAGTGGCTAGGAAGGTAATGTATACTAATAAAGAGGCCAGGAATTTGCATAGTAATATGTAGAAATCCTTTACCACCACAAGGAGATATACTCTCTTCCATTTCCCTTGAATACACAACCCTCTCCATCTGCCTTTCATTTTACCCTTTTGATAGACACATTTACAGAGAAATATTTTATGTTCTAAGAAAATCAACACTGCAAGGGCAAAAGCAACTATATTTGCATTTTTTAAAAACATCTTTTCTTTTTGGTGGCTGGCCAGTACAGTAAAAACAGCTTTATTAAGACAATTCATATGTCATACAATCCACCCATTAAAAATGTACAGTTCAATGGCTTTTATTATATTCATGAGTTGGTCAACATCACCACAACCAACTTTAGAACATCTCATCACCCCTCAAAAATCCCATACCCCTTAGCCATCAGCCTCTGGCACCCTACTCTCCATTCCCAGCTCTAAGCAACCATTAATCTACTTTTTGTCTCTATAGATTTAGCAACTGACTTTGATCTGAAAGTGTCAGGAGATGATGGGGAGTAGTGGGCACTGTGATGAATCTGAGAATTCACACAGGATCTCCAGGGGGGCAGCCTCTACTCAGCTCCAGCTGCTGTTGTCATGTGGCAACATGAGTCCATAGCTAGCCACATCTTGTGATTTTTATGAGAAGCCAGAAATCAATATAGTAAGTATAATCTCCTGACTTTAAAATGTTGGCTTAATTTTTACATTTTTAAGTTCTTAAAAACACACAAATAAACATGCTTGTGAGCCAGATATGCCTCATTCTTATCAAGCTTGCAAGTTCTGTGTTCTGCTGCATATGGCACGGCCTCACTGTGACCAGGGTGACACCATCCTGTGGATGATGTCTAAGCCTTTGTCTCAACCTCTGACTTGAGTCATTACCCATCCTCCGTTTCCAACTACAAGAACTGCAAGCCTGACATCATGAATTTTAGCACCGTACATTCCATATCTTCAAACCACATTAATGTCTTCCCATATAAGTTTACCCCTCCTTCTTTGTTCCTTTCTTTGACCTTTTGGTTAATCTGGTTTGAAACCTCAGTTCCATGTTTAAATTTCTCCTCCTGTGCTCCTCACTTCCAGTGAATTGTGATGTTCCAGTGACTTAACTGTAAAATCTCACCTCCATCCATTCCCTGCCCTCCATCTCTCCTGCCCCAACCTTACACCTGCGTTAGCTTTCCCACGGGGGTGGCTGCTTTGGCTTTCTAACTCGTGTCCACGCTGCTGTCAGTTTCTCCCTACTAAAGCCCATTCCCTATTTCATCGCCTGACACACCTCCTCAAAGCACACTACCCCGCCACTCACAACCAGAGTGCTAAACTGTCAGTGGCTCCCAATGCCTTCGGAGAATCTAGATTCCTATGGTTGGCGTTCGAGGGTTTTCCACCCTGTGCCCAACTTGCCCTTCCACATTTCTTCCCTCCACTCCACTTTTCATATCCTTTGCTCCAATTTAATCACTTCTTCCTCACTTCTGCTCTTCATCGGAATGCCCTATGTCCATATGTCCAAAATGCTACTTCCTACCTGCCAATTTCTCTAATAGTCACAGAAATAATGTCTTCCTTCTGTAAATTTCCACAATACTTTATTTCACTTTCTCACATTACTGCCATTTTCTATCCTGAGGTATATTATTTGTGTGTTTTCTTATGACCCTTAATATATACTATTAGAGGGCCAAATCCATGTCTGATTTATGCTAGCATACCTGAACATCATAACACAGGTGTGAGACACAGAGAATGCTTATAAATACTGGTTAAATGACTAATGAATAAGAATTTCCACTGGACTTTGGACCATGTTACATACTTCTTTTAGCAGCAGGCTTATGTTCTTAATTCTATCTTGCTTTAGCTAAAATTAATAGGTTTATGTTTTTTAAGCAAACTCTAGAAGCTAGTTGCTTAGATACCTTCAAAGTGATAGGATGAAGTGAGGCTGAGCTTCAAAGTTAGCCAAGAAAAAGCTACATGTCAATAATTAGGAGTTGCTAATTACTCGAGCACTCAAAAAAATTTAGGGGGGGGGGATAAAACTCCAGGAATTTCCCAGATCTAAAGGAAGACCAGGATATTTTCAGAGGTAAGAGTAACATCTGGACCAGTAACTATTTAAAGAACTTCATGTCACTAAACCACTGAGAATAGTATAAAAAAGTACCCATATATTTGGCTGTTTTCTGGGCAGGTAAACTTGGGTCCTAACTAAGTGTTATGAGCACAGATGACCACAGAAGAGCTTCCAATGGAAACCCTGAGTGAGCAAGCTTGAGGAGATGTATCTTCAGGAGTGCTCACAAACATTATACCACCACAAGAGTAACAGCAGCAAGGCCTTGAAAGTTAGTGATGATGAAAGACAACATTTGTTAAGGTACTACATGCAAGGCACTATGTTAGCCCTTTATATAGAAGGGCTTACATCTTGTTTGATCTTTGTATCTTAGTCACATCTTTTTTGATCCTCACAACAACCCTATGAAGTAGAGAATATTATCATCCCTATTGACAGACTGAGGCTATGAGAGATTAAGTCACTCTCTCAAAGTCACATGGTTGGTTAATGACAGAGGCAGAGTCCGAAACCACGCCAACTGAGTGTTAACCACTACTCCAACCAGCGCTCTCTAGTCTCATCATGTTTTTCAAGTCAAATCACCTGATACTCTGCAGCCTATGGGACCCTTAAGAAGGGCCTGAAGAGCCCAAAGGCCCGTGTCTCAGATGACAGTGACGGAGGTGCGTTGTGAGCATCTTACCGCTCATCTAAGCTCTGCATGTCTTCAGGCTGCACACCTGGCCTCCCCTGTTCTGATGTACAGGGATAAACCAGGGTAAGGGGTTTCCAGAAAGACAGCACATGCCCTGGCTTGGCAAGTTATTAACCTCACTCAACTGGCCAGGTGCCGAGTTCACGCAAACCCAGTGGCCTGGAACTGACCCTCCCTAGTTGGAGGCTGGTCAGGGTTAGAAAGTTACTTCACTTAATAGGTCCTCGAATATAGGAAAACAATTGAA